GGGTTAAGCCGCTGCCTTCGGCTCAGGTCATGATTTCAGGGTCCTGGGATCGAGCCCCGCATTGGGCTCTCTGCTCAGCAGGGAGCCTGCTTCCTCCTCTCTCTCTGCCTGCCTCTCTGCCTGCTTGTGATCTCTCTGTCAAATAAATAAATAAAATCTTTAAAAAAAAAAAAAAGGCAAATCATGTCTTATTACCATCATGGAACTAGTTTTGACCTAGGAGACCTCTTCACAGGATCTTGGAGAGATCCCAAGGCCTGGGGTCCACAATTAGAGAACCAATGTAATCGATTAATTTTAAAGTCACTTCCCATTTCTTCTTACTAATAAAGTGTATTTTCTCTGATGAATATTTTGTTCCCACTCCCGAACCACCCTTTTGAGAACCGCTGACCTGAGGTAACCACAAGACAGACCCCCCCCCCACAGTGAAAAACCCAAAGCGAAATGCCCGCGGGATGGGGTGGGGGGGCGCTCTGCTTAGCACAGAGAACTGAAAATGCCCCCTGAACTCTCCAGCAGCGCGGGGTCGGGAGACCAGTCCGAAACCCGCCACCCGCGCACGGGGCGGGGCCAGAACTGGCTGCAGGCGGCCGGACTCGCTCGAGGCTCAGGGCAGAAGCTGCGGCGGTTCTGGAAGCACCTGCCGACTGCCCGCCCGCCGCAGGTAGACCGGCCCCCGGGGGGAGGAGCGCGGCCAGGTGCTCCCCAGGTAGCCGCCTCCACCCTCTCCCACAGCTGAGGGCCCCGCATCCCCGGAGCCCCGCAGGAACTTACGGCCGCGTCCTCGCGTGGGCCCGGCGCCCCTGCGCGGACCCCAGGCACCTCCTCCGCCCCAACGCGGGAGGCCAGGACTGTCCCTGAGATTTGGGGGGCGCCGAGACGGAGGGTCTGGCGGCCGCAGGGACTAGCCAAGGACTGGGCTCCGGCCCGGGAGCTGCTGGAACATGCGCCCGGAGTCGCAGGTGCGGGGCCCGGCGGCTTGGCTCGGGCGGGGAATGGGTCACTCGGAGGGGTCACCTCGGCGCACCCGGCCCGATTGGAACGGAAGGCAGAGGGCCGCCCGCGGCCACAGGTGCCCGCTCAGCCGTCGGCAGAGTCCCGGGGCGCGGCATTTGTCTCTTAGGCACTCTCGGGCTTTCCGGGCGCGGGTCGGGCCGGGCGACCGAAACCCGCGGGCCGGGCGCAGTCGCGCGGTTGTTTGGAGCGGAGCAAGTCGGTGACTCAACCCCCAAGGAACTCAAAGTGCTGAGCCAGGGACTTTTTTGACTTTTTCTTGTTATTTTGTTTGTTTCAGTTTGTTTGACAGTTACCAGACTATGTTTGCACTTCTGGTTCTACTCAGCCAACTGCCCGTAGTTACCCTCGCGTTTCCTCATTGCACAAGGAGTCCGAAGGAGTCCGGGCATGCTGGAGAAGAAGGTAAGCACGGCTCGCGTCTCCGAGCAACCCCCTGGAATGTCAAGACAGGTATTAGAGATCTCAAAGGAGAAAGTGTAGTCTTTGAAATGACATGCCCACATCAGTCATAGAATCCTTAAAATCTCCTCTAGTTTAATTTGTGGTCTGTTTGGCAATGTTGTGGTTATGTTAGGTACAATTTATACAAATTTATTTCTATGAGTTACTTTTGATAAATATATATTTAAGACCTGGTTTGTGGTTCGCTGAACGGAAACTTCTGAAAAGCAGTGAGTGCCGTTTTTCTAGATGAGGCTGTGTGGTAATTATAATGAGCGTAATTACTTGTGTTTCCTGGAAAGATGGACCCGGAATCCAGGATCTAGTCTGGACTTGTTATGAGACCCCACGGCAAGTTACTGAACCCCTTTGTGCTTGAATTTCTTCCTCTGTAAAATGATGGGGGTGAGGAGTGGAATGATCACTGAAGTCCTTTTTGACATCAACTTGTCTGGTTATCGGGGTAAAGTCAGATGCTTGTGGAAGATTAGGTTCGTGTCTTGCTAACCTAGAATTTCATACTTTGTGGGTTTCAGGTCATAAACAGACTGGTTCCTGTCCACATTTTAAAAGTCTAACCTAGAAACCAGAACCAAAAAAGGAAAAAAAAAATGGCTTTGGCTTCAGCGTCCTTCCCTTGCCTGGTCATTGTGCTTCCCTAACCCCACACATTCCTGTCCCTTAATCCTTTTCATCAGATCTACGCTCAGCTCATTTCCATTTGGGGAGGATCTGTTACACTAATACTCCTGGATAACTCAATAATGACTAATACAGCTTGGTGTATTAAACCTTCCAGGAGGGGGTGGGTGTGTGTGTGTGTGTGTGTGTGTGTGTGTGTGCATATGTGTGTGTTTTAAGATAGGACATCTTAACCCAAAGGAACCAAACCCTGATGGCAGAATTCTAGGGAATTGGATAAGCTAGCTAATGAAACAAGGGAGAGATTTTGGAAGGAGATCCTTCTTGTTACCTCCCAAGTTCCACCACATATGTAAGTCCATTCATATATAAGACTGAAGGTCCATACTCAGTGGGAGCAGATGCAGATCCCCAGTATGTTGGTGAGTATATACATCGATACACATAATGCAGACGTAAAAGATATTCTCCAGGACATCACAAACTATGGAAGGAATTCAGAGATCATATCTGACAACAGATGGCTGGAAATATCTATGAGAAATGTAAATGAGGAATCCTATCTATTTTAAAAGTTGATTTGTTCAGTTAGTAATCACTTTATTAACACATACTACGTGCTAGGCCCTAATCTAAGTACTGGAGATAGAGCAATGAAAGACTATAATCCCTGCCCTGGAGAACCTCTTCATCTGATAAGGGGGCGAGAGGTAAAGAGATCGTCTCTCCGTAAGCTCTGTGACAGAGGTAGGAACAGAGAGCTTAAGAGCAAAGAGTAAGTAGTAGTCACTCTGTCTCCAGAAAGCTGTATGGCACAGAAGCCGATAGTAAGTGGTGATATGAAAAGTAACCAGGAAAATAAGGGACCTCCAGCTGAACTCTGATAAAGCCCAAGGGTGGAGTTCAAATGAGTCAAAAGGAATTTATTTAGAAAACATGGAGGGTCAGGAGAGAGGAAGAGAATGGAATATCTGGGTTGGTGGGCTTGAAAGAGTGGAATGCACAGACGGCATATTAGGACGGCCTAAAACGGCAGAAATAGAAATGGAAAGAGAAGGGGCACCTGGGTGGCTCAGTGGGTTAAGCCTCTCCCTTCAGCTCAGGTCATGATCTCAGGGTCCTGGGATCAAGCCTCGCATTGGGCTCTCTGCTCAGCAGGGAGCCTGCTTCCTCCTCTCTCTCTGCCTGCCTCTCTGCCTACTTGTGATCTCTGTCTGTCAAATAAATAAATAAAATCTTTAAAAAAAAAGAAAAAGAAAAGAAATGGGAAGAGAACCTGAGGAGGCAAATACAAAAGGATTGAGGTCTGTGTATCCTCCAGCAGGGGCCAAAGGGAAAATAGGACGTCTCACTGGAAGTTCTGGGTGCTCCCAGGACAAGGAGGTTTGCTTCTTTGGAAAACAAACAAATTCAGAGTTACTTGGGATCCCAGTAACAAAGAAAGGACAATAGTCTCCCTACGATCAAAATAGAGACAGGGAAAATTTTAATAAAGCACTGAAGGTCTAAAGTTAATCCCTGACTGAATCAGAACTTTCACACTCAGGGAAGTGACACACAGCAGCCCCTGGAGGGTACATTTAATTCAGGGGTGAAGACTTTAACTGGCGTAAGTATCATGTCAGGAACAATAAAAATGTTTATGATTCTCTCTTTCTTACTTTCTAGTTGAAAATAGTTCTACTGAGTCCCATCTGAAGGGCACAGAGTATTTTTAGAACTCAGATAACCTACTTGAAGGGAAGACCGATCATGAGAAATTTGGCACTACTTTCTTAGCCAATAAAATGTAAAGTTCTGGCCATATCTGAGATACAGCTTTACAGAAGCAGCTTTCTAATTCTCCATTCTGAAATTAGATTCCATGTAGTAAGTACAGCTAACTTAGGCAGGCCATGAGTTACTTCCATCACTGGTTTAGTATTTTAAGCCTACTACAAGCTGAATAGTCCCAGACTATACCTATGAATTGCTTTCACTGGTAGAATTTAGGTCTGAGAAAATCTTTCCAATGTAGAAAAGTTAAGTTCATTCATTCATTTAGTAAATCATTTTTTGAGTACCTCATATGTGTCAGGTCCCACATGTGTGTATACTTTAATGGAATTTTTCTTCTAGTGAGGGGAACAGTGGTAACAAGCAAGTTGTAACACACGCAGAACACATCAGAGGCTGGTGTGTGCTGTGGAGAGAAGCCGAGTATAATAGGGACACGGAGCGCCAGAGGTGGGTGGGTGGGTATGAGGTTTCAAGGTAACATTGAACAAAAATCCAAAAGGAGGTGGAAGAAGAAAGTTCTCTTCAGGGGAAACAGCCGGTACAGAACAAAGGCAGGAGAGAACCAGGCGCATTGGAAGCCAGTGTAGCTACAGCACAATGTTAGAAACAGACTGGAGGGGAGTAAGGCGACCCCTTAGAGGGCCATGATGAGACCCCCAAGGAGAGGTGATGGTGACTTGGAAAATTCTTCATTTTGTCTCCATTTGGTGGTAGCATCCAATCTATAAGAAGACAAGGGAGAAGAAAGAATAGAAAGAGTTTACCACACTGGTTAATCACAATGTTCTTAAAACAGCTATCACCAATGATAGCATTCTAGCTTCGCCTTTGGCTCAAATAGCCCGTATATGTTATTTATAACTCAGAAATGTATATGCTGGAATAGTGCAGGCCAATAGAAATAGAATGTAAACTCCATAATGAGTTTAAAACTTTCTAATAGCCACATTAAAAATGTAAAAAGAGGGATCCCTGGGTGGTACAGTTCATTGAGCATCAGACTCTTGATTTCAGCTCAGGTCCTGATCTCAGGGTCATGGGATCAAGCCCCACACCAGGCTTGGGCTCAGCAGAGTCTGCTTGAGACTACCTTTCCATCTCCCTCTGCTCTCCACCCTGTGCGCACACTCTCTCTTTCTCCCTCTCTCGAAAAATAAATAAATAAATCCTTTAAAAAAGGTAAAAAGAATTGGTAATATTATATATATATATATATATATTTGATCTAACACATTATATCCAAAATACCCTTTCCAAATATAAGCAATATGAAACATTGTGATATTTTACTTTTTAATTAAGTCTTCCAAATCCAGTGTATATCTTACATAAGTATAATTCATACATAGTATATGTATAAATTCATACTAGAGACATACGTCTCAATTCATACTAGCCATAGTTCAAGTGCTCAATAACCACATGTGCCTAGTAGCTACTGTATTGAACAAAATAGCTCTATAAGATTCAGACCTGTTTGGAAAAATGATTGACTAGTGGAAAAAAAAATATCTTGGACAAGGTGTGACTATTCTCGCGGGGGTAAGAATAAATGGTGAAGCAGAGGTCATTCACAAATCAGAATTAGTCTTTCAGCCCCTGCTCTGTCATCACTCCTGAGCTGTCTCTCAGTTGCCCACTTTAATATATTCTTCTTCCATAATAATGTTTAGCAGTGCGAAACACCAAGTTCTTTTAAGCACTTGATGCAGTTTTCAGCGAGTTTCTGAATTCCAGTCTTGGTAATGTGATCTGGAGCAAGATTTCTTAAGCGTTCTTTGTGCGATACCAGAATGAGTTTAAAGTTTGTGGGTTTTGAAAATGCTGCCATGGCAGGATATTTTGGTTTTGTGTTACCCTGTGCTTAATGCTGTCATGTTTACCATTTACCTTCCCAGAAAAGGTAGAGGGAATCTTATGAAACACTGTAGGCCCATCTTTGGGGGATGGGGAGAAAGAGCCAGCTACTTGTTCAGGAATGTCTGAATGTCTGCTAATTAACCTTATAATCGCCTTATAATTTTATTAACTTAGAAGTTTAAAATTTTGTAAGTTTTTAGTACAATAGTCTGTCCATCTTTTTCTCAGTCAAGATAATAGAGAGCCATCCCTTTAGAAGTAGAAGAGTCTGACCTGTCATTTCTTGAAAATGTAATTGTCTAGAGGGAAGAGTGATATTTAAATAATTTTCATCTATGCAAATAATTTTGGACATAACCAACTCAAGTGTTTTCTGGGCTTATGCTAATATTTGTATTTCATATTTAACAGACATTATTTTTACTGCTGCCATTTCTTTTTGTCAGAATTTAAAATCATACAGGGACAGCTGAGTGGCTCAGTCCATTAAGCAGCTGCCTTCGGCTCAAGTCATGATCTCAGGGGTCCTGGGACTGAGCCCCGTAGCCTGCTCCCTGCTCAGCCAGGAGACAGCTTCTCCCTCTGCTTGTGCTCCCCCAACTTGTGCTCTGTCTCTCTCTCTGTCTCTCTCTCAAGTAAATAAATAAAATCTTGAAAAAAAAAATTTTAAACCATACCAAAAAAGTTTGGTATAATTTTACATCATGAGAATTATTCAGTTTTTCCACAATTGAAACTTTGAAACTCTTTCAACTTTGAAATCTTTCTATTTCTTTATTAGTCTTCACAGCAAAAGAAGCAGCAAATCTTTTCATACATAGACGCCTGCTGTATAATAGATTTGATTTGGAGCTCTTCACGCCCGGTGACCTAGAAAGAGAATGCATAGAAGAACTTTGTAATTATGAAGAAGCTAGAGAAATTTTTGTGGATGAAGATAAAACGGTAATTTGGCTGACAATGTTAATTGGCTGGAAATTTATTAAATCATACTTAAGAAAATGGCACTTTCAGTCATCAGAGATTTTATGCTTTAAATAAAATTGAGATTTTATACCTGTTATCCCTTTCTACTTCCTTAAAATGCTAATTAACCTATTTAGACTTGGCTTTATACTTAATTAAATTGAACTTACAGCAATCGGCAAATTATCAGTTGTGTTGTGATTTTGTGTGTGTAGATGTTTATTATATCTAAAAACAATCATGAAGTGGAGTGAATTACATTTTAGGATATTATTTGATTTAGTTCTATGACTCAGGCTTCAATCATTCTAGACTCAGAGCAATTTTTCCTACCAGTGACCTTATCTTTTCTGATTACTGCATTTATTAACAATTTAGTATGTGCCAAGTGCTCTGCCAGAGACTGAGGATATAAAATATATAGTCTCTGCATTCAGGAGTTTATTGTTTGGTCTAGCTGTGTAATTTAAGGGAGAAGTTTTTAGAAGTTCTCCTTTGAAATATAATTAATCTGTCCATTAATCTTGGAACAGTATAAAACAAACAGCACGGTCCCTGTTATAATCTGGCATATTCATAAAGAATGTTAAGTGACTCAAATTCTTGACTTCTATAAATTAAATAAGCACAGCACCTTTTCCCCTTCCTCAAGAATTCCACTGTACTCTTTGGTCAATAAGAACAAGGAACCCTAGGTATTCTTCAAATGCAGACATTAATGGAACTTAGTTCTTTTTTCTCCCAATATTGTACCCAGGCCCTCAATCTCTGCTAATATCTGCCACATCTGCTGGAGAGGGAAAACAAAGTCTATACTGTGTTGTTGTACTGGTTGAAATTTTGTTCTTTTTTTTTTTTTTTAACTCATTTTATGATTATTATGGTTCCTTACAATCTGTCTCATTTTCTCAGATGACACTGAAAGAATCTCAGGGATGTCTTTCCCCAAATCAATCCCTTTCAATAAAATCTCCTAGCAAACCCAGGGCACACTGAGCACAGAGAAATTCAGACTCCTTTCCAAACTTGGTAATGGGTCCACTCCTTCAGCCCCCACCTTTGGTGCTGTCACCGACTAATGTGATAGTTTGGGGGATGCCAGCGGGGACTCTGAACAGGGACTCTGAGTGGGTGAAGGGAGAGCGGCAGGGGACAGTAGTAGAGAGCTAGCATGGGCAGTCATCCCCTGACCAATTCCAGAGTCAGGAGAAACAGCGGTGGGTGGCAATGCTTTAATTAGAGTGAGTAATGCCCTCCAGCTTGAATAAACTTAATATCCTATCTGTGGCACATGCCAAGAATTTACCACCCCAGTCCAGGTCATTGGGATCCCATGAAATGATAATAGAACAATGAAATAAACTTGGAAAATTTACCTTTCTCTTAGACAGCATTCTGGAAAGAATATTCTGTCAAAGGACCAACCACAAAATCAGGTAAGGCAAGAATTGATGAAATTTAATGTTCTTCCCACCCTTTCTCTATTATAATACATTTTAGTTTCATTGTTTGAGTTTGGCTATTGCTCAACATACATGCCTTGTAAATCCAGGGATGATTTCTCAATTATACATTGGGCTATCTAAGATGGAGGAAGCCACATTCATCTTTACACACTGAAAATCAAGTTTGGTAAGATACTGGGGAAATGAGATAATAGGCTTAAAGGTGTTTTAAACAACTCAGCTAAGTCAAGACTTGCACAGAATAAAAGTAGGACTCCATTAGTTGCAAGTAGTAAGCTTAATTTTTTTTTTCTTTTTTTACCATTACAAGTAAATGGAATACTTCTGCTACTGGGTAAATTAAGAGTGTTAGAATTAAATAAGTTCTATAGAGGGGAGATCTTTATTTTATCTGTATTATCATCTCTAGCTGCTTTTTAGTCAGGTCTTTTTTTGCCGGATCTTCCTTCATTCCCCTCAGGTGGAGCCCCAGCTATGAGGAGGACTTAATTACATTGCTATGCTAGTGTTGCTTAGTATAGTTATCTCTGTATTTAATACCAAAATGTGCCTAGTTGAAAAAGAATATGTTGAGTCTTATTTTTTTAAGTTTATTTATTTTTTTAGTATCTCTACACCCATCATGGAGCTCAAACTCATGACCCTGAGATCAAGAGTTGCATGCCCTTCTGACTAAGCCAACCAGGAACCCCAGAATATGTTTGGTCTTAAATGCTATCCATTTAATATGACCTCTTTAAAGTAAATGAAACTTGGGGGCAACTGCGTGGCTCAGTTGGTTAAATGCCTTTGACTCAGGTCATGATCCCAGGGTCCTGGGATTGAGCCCCATATGGGGCTTCCTGCTCAGCAGGAGACCCTGTTTCTCCCTCCTCTCCCCTGCCTACAACGCCCCCCCCCCACTCACGCTCTCTCTCTTTCTCGCTCTCTCAAATAAATAAATAAATAATAAAGTAAGTGAAACTATAACTAGGGCTTTTAGGAAGAGTCATTTACAAATTTTTATCGCTAACACAAAGACTTTTTAAAGAAAGCAGTATTAATAGATTCTTAATAGTATGCTTAGATCCAGTGTGAAGTTTATTGAAATCATAGACAATGCTTTTCAGTTGTTATACCTACATTATTTTATTGATTTCTCTTAAGATGCTAACAGAGAGAAAGTTGATGTCATGGGCCTTCTGACTGGATTAATTGCTGCTGGAGTGTTTTTGGTTATTTTTGGTTTACTTGGTTACTATCTTTGTATCACCAAGTGTAACAGACAACAATATCCCAGGTAAGAACCAAATAAAAATATCGAATTCACTATTATACATTCTATATTGTTATTTTAAAATGGATAAAAATGGCTGCCTGTATTTTTTGAAGATTTTATCAATTTATTTATTTGACACAGAGATCACAAGTAGGCAGAGAGGCAGGCAGAGAGAGGGGGAGGCAGGCTCCCTGCGGAGCAGAGAGCCTGATGCGGTGCTTGATCCCATGATGCTAGGATCATGACCTGAGCCAAAGGCAGAGGCTTTCACTCACTCAGCCACCCAGGCACCCCTACGGCTGCCTATTTTTTAAATAAACATTTTACTCTGGAATAATTTTAGGTATACAGGAAAGTTGTAAAGATCACACAGAGAGTTCCCATCCTTCACCTAGTTTCCCCTCATTGGGAACATCTCACATTCCCGCAGTACATTTGTAAAACAAACCAGGCAACACTGGTACGTTATTATTAACTAAACTCCAGACCTTGGGGCACCTGGGTGGCTCAGTGGGTTAAAGCCTCTGCCTTTGGCTCAGGTCATGATCCCAGGGTCCTGGGATCAAGTCCCACATCGGGCTCTCTGCTCAGCAGGGAGCCAGCCTACCCCTCTCTCTCTGCCTGCCTCTCTGCCTGCTTGTGATCTCTGTCTGTCAAATAAATAAATAAAATCTCTAAAAATAAATAAATAAACTCCAGACCTTATTCAGACTTCACCAGTTTTGCCATTCTTGTCGTCCTTCTGCTCCAGGACCCAGTTAAGATACCGCACTGCATTTAGTTGTCATTGTCTCTCCAGTCCCCTCTGGTCTGTGACCATCATTTGGTTGCCTAATTTAACACTTACCTATACAACAAAATGATGCTATTCCTAGATCCTTCAAAAGAATACAAGAGGATTCACAAGTGTCAGGTTGATTTTTTAATATTTCCTTCTTAAGGAGGAAGTAGAAATGTGTCCCCACATTATTTCCAGAGGTTAAGAAGTCCCATCATTTATTCTAAGTAGCAGGGTTAGCAGATCTAGCCATGTAGCAATCCAAATAGAAACAGTGTAACTAGCTTTTAAATTCCAACTATTTTTATTGAGACTTTAAATTAAATAAAAAGGAATAAAATAAAATGGTTGCCACATGAAGATAATAGCCCATTAATAAAGCTTGATAAAAATTCATAAAAGCCATAATTGTTTGGACAATAGAACCTCAACATCCTCATTAAAATAAAAAGTTATTCTCTATCATCTCTATTATCTTCTCAGTAAGTGTAGATGAGTAAGTGTAAAAATAACCTTATTCAAAAAAAAAGTGCCTGGTGCTAAACAGCCTATTTGAAATTGATGCCTACATATCTCTAGTTATACTTTCAAATTCTGAGAAAAGCTCGTGATTGTGACCAGGTGATGAAAGGGTTATAGAGACAGTGGTGATGGTGGCACAACATTGTGAATTTAATTAATATTACTGAGTCACACACTTAAAAATGGTTAAAATGTTATATGCACTTTACCACTATAAAATTTTTTTCTTTATGGTAAGGTAAGACTTTGGGGCAGTGGACGTGAAATTAGGATTCATCTATTAGAGGATAAAACTAAAACCATGCGGCACCTGGCTGGCTCATCAGTAGATTATGTGACTCTTGCTCTTGGGGTTGTGAGTTCAAACCCCACACTGTGTATAAAGATTACTTTAAAAACAAAAACAAAAATGGAAGCCATGAGAATAAGCAAGTTCTCTGAGTGTGATGAAAGGAAAGATGGAAAAGGACAGAGCCTTAAGGGGTACCCATAGCAAAAGTGCAGAAATAAGACATGCCAGAAAGAAGACAGAGGACAGGGGCAACATAATTGTAATTCTCGTCCCAAACTGAAATTCCTGAACAGTTCCATGAGGCATTAATATGACCTGTAGGCATGGACAAAGGAGTTCTTCAGAGACCTCTGTAAATCCTACAAAAATCTGAGAAATGAGAGAAAGAAAAGATGAACTTGCTTAATTGTTCCTAAGCCACCATCTTTTAAGCTGAGAGACTTTTACTAACTTCTCTTATTTAACACGTAGGAAATGAGTAAGGCTTTTCCATTTTCTAGGACTTTGGAATTTTATTCAGTGTGGCTTTCTCTACAAGTGGGGGAGGAAGTCCTGGAAACCCTCAGACTCATGAAGATCAGGCAAAATTTGTCTTCCAAGACTCTTCTTGCCTTTTATATTTCTTTTCCTCCCCATTCATAAGTCTCACCAAAAAAGTTCATGTATAGCCTCATGCTTAATAACTGGGCTCAAGGTCTGTGATAGCATAGCCATCATTCAGTGTCCTCATGCATGGTATTTTCTTCTCTCTTCTCTGTGCTTTGCTTCCTTTTTCTACTTTTCTGCACCACTACATCTTCTTACCATAGGCCTTTTTTCTCTGAAATGTAGCTTCTTTCCTGCTGTAGGTTAGAAGCAGAATTCAAAGGTACAGGGAGCAAAGTAGTACCACTATTATGTATGTTTTCTGTGTATGTTATTGTAAAATTTAAAAACCCTGAATATCTCTTATTTTGTTTTGAGACTTTATTTATTTATTTTAGGGGGAGGGTAAAGGGAGAGGGAGAGAGAGAATCTTAACCAGACTCCATGCTAAGTGCAGAGCCTGATGCGGGGGTTGATCTCATGACCCTGAGATCATGACCTGAGTCCAAACCAAGAGTGGGACACTTAACTGACTGAGCCACCCAGGCACCCCTAAATATCTCTTATTTTAAAAGCAAGATTAGTTATACTTAATGTTGGTACAGCATAATGCTATACAAATCACAGATCATTTTTACATCTATTGTCTCAATGCGATCCTCAGAGCAATCTTTGATTTTAGGGGACATTAAACACTAGGTTTATAAGACATTCTCTTATTTTGGGATTAACTTTTAACACTTACTAATACTTTTCATCTATTATCCCAAGTTCTTCCAGCAGAGTTTTTTGTTCTTTTTTTGTATTTTGCAAATCTGGAGGTGGGGGAAGGGTGAGGAAATATTTGAGAAAGAAAAGAGTAAAAAATAAGATCATTGTCAGAAAAGTTTGTCTCATTCCTCTGTCAAAACACGCCAAGAAATGGAAAACAAGATCTTTTCATTTCTTTGTTCCTATATGTTATGGAGGTAAATGGGCATACTATGACGTTTGTTTATTTGAGTTGTTCTTAGTGCATACTTTCTGATATCAATCATTTAAGATGTGTGTAAGAAATCACCATGTAGATTATTTAACAACTTTGATGTAATTATGGTATTGTTTCTATATCTTACACTTGGAAGTTGACATGGAAGAGTTTATTGGTTCAACTACAACATTTGTCTCTCCTGTTCCATATAAGCAAATAAATAGAACTTTTTGTCATAAGTTAATGAATGTGGCAATCTGTTCCAGATTCTGACAGAGGAGGAATTGTGTTGACCCCTCTAAGTAAACTTTTGAGGGATGCTCTCAGTCACCCCTCTAAGTAAACTTTTGAGGGATGCTCTCAGTCACCCCCCAACTATTGAAGGGCTGACTATTCAGTTCCTAGATTTACACAGATCTTCTTCATTTCTCTCTCTGCAGTCACCCTCTCTTCCTTTCTTCCAGTTTCATACCTCATGATTACCTCCAAGAGAGAGGTGCAAATGGACCTTAGGTGTTTTAAGATGCAAATGGACTGCCTTAGTTTGGGAAATTTACAGTATTTTGAGTCTGCTTAACTGTCTCTTGCCAGGAAGAATATTGTAAATATTAATGAGAAGTTGGGGATTACCTATGAATTTTAATTATCTTAATTAGCCATATTCTAGGAACTTAATCTATGCATAAGTGCTTCACAGACAGCCATCTTTACAGTCTAAACAGATCGATTTACTAATGTATAAGTTATGATTCATAATTCAATAGTGAGAAAGGAAAACACAGGCTCAAAACACTAGACCCCTTATTGCATTTCAATTTTCATTGGCTAATGTAGCTGACAGAGTTTTGTGAAAACGATGAGACTTGAATTAGGCCATTTTTTTTTTTTTTTAATTATTGGCCTTGGAACAGTGGAGTGGGGGAAAAGACAATAATCTGAGAAAGAAAGTACAGAGACAGGACAGAGAATTCATTGCATATATAGAGGAGTGTAAAGAGGGAACCTTGCAAGAGCAGAGAGCTGTGAAAAATAAGGTGAGACCAGAATGAGGGAGATTTTAAAAAGGAGGCATGGGAGTTAAACTTGATTCAGTGGAGAGTAGGCTGCAGGTTAGGGTTTTGCAGAGAAGAGGGACACGAGAGAAGTGCTGTTTAGGAGGACGGACTAGGCATCAGGACTGCAGAGGAGAGAGAGAGGCATCCCCTGTCGTGATTATCTCTGCGACATCAGTCTCCTTGGCTTGGAGTAATGCTGCCTTTCAACAAAAAAGGATTCAGTTTCACACCATTATTTTGAGAAAGTTCTCATTTAGGAGGAAAAGGGAATTAGCATGTTTTGAGTCCTTGTTACAGTGTTCCAGGCACTGCTTAGATGCTTTTCGTACAACATTTTTCTGAATCCACACAAAACAACTCTGTTGAGGTAGCTATCATTGTCCCCATTTTACTTCAAGGGAGACAGATAACTTGCCTTTGGTCACAAAACTATGAAATGAATTACACTTTCATATCCATGTCTGACTCCAAAGCTCTCAATCTTTCCCCTATACCAAGACTCTTTCAAAGGTAATGAGTAAAATAAAACTGTTGTTATATTAATAAATTGGGTTTAGAGGCACCTGGGTGGCTCAGTTGGTTAAGCATCTGCCCTCGGCTCAGGTCACAATCCCAGGGATCTATGATGGAGCCCCGAGTCGAGCTCCCTGCTCTGCAGGGAGTCTGCTTCTCCCTCTCCCTCTGCCCTGCTGGTGCTATCTCTCTCTCTCTCTCTCTCTCAGATAAATAAAAACTTTAAAAAAATACGTAAATAAAACAAATAAATTGGTTCAACTTTTATCAAAATAGTTGGGTTTTCTAAAATGGCCATTTTAATTTAAAAATGCTGCCTTTCTGGACCTAAATGCTGTCTCTCTGTTTAGTTCTTCAGCCGCCTACGTAAGAACGGGCAGGCACACTCCCTCCATCATTTTCAGAAGACCCGAGGAGGCTGCCTTGACTCTGTCACCCCCCGCAATGGAGGACACAGGATTACCTTCTTATGAACAGGCAGTGGCACTGACCAGAAAACACAATGTTTCCCCGCCACCACCATATCCTGGGCCAACAAGAGGGTTTCAAGTATTTAAAAAGTCTATGTCGCTCCCATCTCACTAAGCCCGCCATGGTAGTGTAGGAGATTCCTGCTATTTGAATGGTTCGTTTTCCCTGGACCAGAGACATGAAGAGACTTCAGCCCTTAATGACAAACTGCAAGGAGCGAAGGAAGAATAAAGCACCTGTGTAGAATGCCACGGCAGTTCTGTTGGCGTCTCGGACCTGAACTTGATCATTATCAGCTCGATAAGAATCTTATCATTACCAGTTTGATAAGAAACTCGGACTCCATCTCCTTGCAGTAAAGAAGAGAGCACTTTTGTTGTTTACTTTCATGATTCAGAAAGTCTGTGTTAGGGATGTCATCGCTAGAACTCGTGAGCTATCTTTTGTACAGATAAAGGTTGTAGATTTCTTGTGTTGACTATAAAAAAAAAAAGAATTTCCGATCATTAGATTATCTGAAGCCAGAATATTGGACCTACTCTTTATTAGGATTTCTTTTCGGTTGGAAATACGTCATAAAACCAGACACTTCGATTCAAACTGGTGGCCTCCATATAGTCACTTCGTTTCGCATTTTAAATTATTGCATAGCGTTCACCATTTTGTGTAGGTTTCAGTTGTTAACAGTTGCTGCTAGTCATGTTTTTTTATGGGAGTGCATTAAAAAGTCACTTGCTAGGGAGTTAGTTCTTCAGAGGGTACAGAGTTACAATGACAAGGATTTGCAAAGGTTGTTATACTATCAAATCTATAGGCTTCAAATCTAGGAGTCACTAGAACTTGTTAAAACTGCCCATGCTACTGACGGGTATGAATGTCCATTTTCATGGCTAAATTATCTGTATATAACTACATATAATTATTTATCTTGAAAGTGTGTTGAAGTTAATAAATAATAGTTCAAGAACCTAGAAAAATTAATTTACTCATCTGCTATTAAAATAATACTGACTAAAGTTTCCAGTAACCCCTTGTACCTCTTAATGTCTGGACCTAAAACCCCGTAAGTAATCATTTCAACCTAAACTGTCTCTTCTAATTGTATATATGACCAGTCTTCCTTAAGAATGTAGTAGAATATAAGCTATAAACTTCTGGAGTGAGTGTGTTTGCACACATTTATGTGAGTGGATGTGGATGTAGATGTGAATTGTTTTCTCTTTGCAGGAACTCAAATATATACTATACTCCTGAGAAATAAAATGGAATATTCTGTTCTTGTTGTTTTGCTAGACATTGCATTTTCCTATTATTTAAGACCATTTTTAAAATTGTATTTGTTTTATAATTTTTACAGAAGTGAGACTAAAACCCACATGTATTTGGTAATTCCTTCCAATTAAATGTTTAGAAAGTGTAAATTGTTACAATATATATATGAGTGTTCATGTCTCTCTTTTAAGACATCATGATCTTAAGGCAGATATAAGCAAGACCTTAATCCTTACAGACTGCCAAACATTTTATCCTTCTAGATTTTGGGGTCTCTTCAGTTGCTTATCACAAAGAAATCATCTAGCAACATTTAGATATAATTAGGAAAAGTGGTCTTTTTATTTTTTTAAAGCTATTTAAACATGGAGCTTGAATTCAAAACCCTGAGATCATGAGTCACGTGTTCTACTGGCTGAGCCAGCCAGGTGCCCCAGGAAAAGTAGTCTTTTTAAAGCCACCTACATTACCTATAAAATTTTACCACTGTGGGACATCTGGCTGGCTCTGTTGATGGAGCATACAGCTCTTGATCTTGAGGTCATGAGTTCAAGCCCAACTTTGCGTTCTTTTTCTTTTCTTTTTTTTTAATTTACCATTAGTTATACCTTGACTTTACCTAAGGATTATTTTCTCATGAAACTTTGCACTCTGCCCTTATTTTAATTCTCTTTAAAAGGTCAGAGGCAGGGGTGCCTCGGTGGCTCAGGTGGTTAAGCATCTACGTTTGGCTCAGGTCATGATCCCAGGTCCTGGGATGAAGCTCCACTTCAGGTTCCCTTCTCAGTGGAGAGCCTGATACTTCCTCTCCCTCGACCCCCAAACCCCGCCCTGACTCATGCTCTCTCTCTGGCTCTGTTCTCTCTTTCAAGTAAATAAATAAAATCTTAAAAAAAAAAAATGGTCAGAGACAAACTCTACTTTCCTCACTTTGTAGCAATCAGACTGAGATGTAGAAGGATAACTTGCCCTAAATCTTACATGTTGGTGAGAACTAGGTTTAGAAGGAGCAAGCACACTTTTCCGGGCCCATCTCAGAATTATGCTATCTCAAATGATGAAGAACAGGGATCCTTGTTACTTCTAGTTCTGTATGAGAAATTTATGACTGTCATACATATGTAAATGTATTGAGGTTCATCATATATGTATATGTATTCTCACACACATGTATTTCTTAGGATGAGTAGAAATATAGACAAGGGCACCTGACTGGCTCAGTTGGAGGAGTATGTGGCTCTTGAACTCATGGTCGTAAGTTCAAGCCCCACATTGGATGTACAGGTTACTTAAGTAAATAAACTTAAAAAAAAAAAAAAAGGAAAAAAAGAAAAGAAAAGATAGGATGTGTCAGGGCATCTGAGTGGCTCAGTCAGTTAAAAATTTTTCTCTTGGGCGCCTGGGTGGCTCAGTGGGTTAAGCTGCTGCCTTCAGCTCAGGTCATGATCTCAGGGTCCTGGGATCGAGTCCCGCATCGGGCTCTCTGCTCAGCAAGAAGCCTGCTTCCTCCTCTCTCTCTCTCTCTCTCTCTCTCTCTCTGCCTGCCTCTCCGTCTACTTGTGATCTCTCTCTGTCAAATAAATAAATAAAATCTTTAAAAAAAAAAAAATTTTTTTT